TATGACGTAGTACGAAGTGTCCGCGATCATCTTTTCAATTCCAAGTAGCCTTTCCAGCTTGGGATTCAAGTTCCCGAGCCTCCTCACAGTTGCATTCATTGCTTCGTCATATTTGTTTGCAAACTTTTGCAATTCGTCGCCTGAAGGGCTGCTGTGGAAGCTGTGGCTGCCGAAGTCATGCCACGCAAAGCGAAGTGTCTTTCCGCGCGGTGGCCCTGATTTGCTGCCCGCAGTCACAGGTAGCACAAGGATGTTCCCCAAATGGCAATCGTGAAAGAAACGGTACTCGACCATTTGACGCAGATCGAAGTTGTATCCCCAAAGGAAGATCAACAACTCCAGAAGATCCAACTGATCTATCTCGTCCAGGACGCTGCTACGCGTTTCAGGAAAGATGTCCACGGCGAAGTCCAAGCTTTCCGCAATGCACAGCCGGCATGTTGTTGCGGGCGCGAACACGTGAAATGCAAAGCTTTTGAATCGGAACTTTTCCCGCCAGGCGTTCTCTGATTGCACTTCACTGAGGGTCATAAAGCGCCGTAGAGGTCGAGAGGCAGCAACAGCTTTCAAACCAACAAGCACTGCTTCAACCAGCAATCTGGTTGTTGCGGGCATTTCCCATGACCAAACTGTGCTCACAATATTGAAGACTTGTGTGGCATCTGCCACGACTACTGTCCCTCCTGAATTTCCATGTGCATTCACAAGCCCTGCTCTGATTGCCAGTGAATGACCACCACTATCACAGGATGCGAAAGCAACGGTGTTTCCCCCACCTCCCGAACCGCGGTCTCCATGTACTATGCAGTCGCCACCAAAACTCTCCATTTGCCGGCATTCGGACTCTTTGCATGAAGACTCACCTGGAAGGAGGCGCAGTGGCAACAGCAGCCAGAACCATCTCATTGCGTGGCGTGCTATTGTTCAAAGTATGGAGCTTCCTACCGCCGCTGTGCGCTTTGAGACTTGGCCAGTCTCGAACTATTGAAACTTGATGCGAGCACATGTCAACGTTTGTCCAAGGACGATGAGTCCAACACTTGGTGTGCAACTTGTTCGCAAAATCAGGCTGCTGAAGCCAACGACGCAACATCGGTGGCGAGTCAGGGCATGCAAGCAAGCACTGTTCCGCACCAACGATTTCACGATCGCTAACTTTGTGCAACTATGTGGCATCAGTGCGCCTTTCATTGCTGAGGCTGCACCCTGCTAATTACACCTGAAAGTAAAGCCCGTTTCACCATCTGCTGCCCGTTCGAAGCACGTCACTTGTAAACATGACCACATCGAAGATTTGCCCCTTGCACGTCGCAAAGCTTGTCGAGTGAAACCCAGAGCCCGCACAGCCAAATCACATCGCTTCGCGGGGCAACTGTGGATCAAACCCGCTGCGGGGACGAAAGGGGGTTAGGGTGCCCTGAGCCAAAAACCGCACCCAAAAAAAATGAAGCATTCAAGCCAAATGTTACTGCGAAAATCCGCGAGCCTAACGAGACTACTGCTACAAAGCAAAAAATGAAATGACCAAGGAAAAATCCATGCACGTGCCCCCGCTCCAAGCCAAACCCCCTTGCGCCCCGACACCCAAAAAGAGGCGAGACAGGCGAGACATTGAGATAAACTCGCTTCTATCAGCCCGGGCCCCCCAGACAGACGAGGGAGACAAGCAAGAACAAACTCCCTTCTACCAGCCCGGCCCTCCAGAAACACGAGGGAAACAAGCGAGACAAGCCCACGGCCCCAATCGTGCTCATCCTAAACCCCCCGCGGATCCGGTGGACAATAGCCACAAGCTCGCGCCCCATGGACACTGAATACCCCAAACCACGAAATCTTGAGCCAAACCTAGGGGACGTACCCACAAAGTCGTGCTCGCGCCACAGTCCGGCGCGAAGCGGCCCGGCAAAGCCTTTTTGGGCTGCGCGGGCCTTCTCCGGGCTGGCTGTGCCACCTTCGGCCGGGCCCGGGAAAGTAAGTGAAACAGAGGCAGGCGAAAAGCGCGGCCCAGACGGTTCCGTGATGCCTGGCTGTGTTCGACCCATCCTAAACCCTCCCCGACCACGTTCCGGGGCTGGCTGGCACTGGTTTGGCCGCGTGGCCCGGAAC